GTGGACTTCAACTCCCAGCATTCCCCAGCCAGCAGGGCTGGCTGGGGAATGCTGGGAGTTGAAGTCCATACATCTTAAAGTGGCCGAGGTTGAGCAACACTGGCTTAGGCTATTAACACAACGATGCTCATGTGTGTGCCACAATCCACGCCTTCAGTTTTTTGCTTTCCAACTGATACCAATCTAATATCCTTGAGCTACAGGCTCCAGAGGGAGTGGGGCTGCAACGTGAAAAGGGGGCAGGGATTTTACATTTTAGTTGTGGCTGCCATCCTGACTGTTTTTACCCCCCACCCCCAACCCTCCCATCTACAGGTTTGGCCAAACCCCCGAAACCTCCATTTCCAGTCCTGTTTCTCCCTGGTTCCCTTTCATCCCATTCACACAAGACTCCTCTCCTGCATTTGCAATTAGAGGGTGCAATTTCTGATCCTGCAGAGAAATCAGCTACAACTTCAAACCATCAGCCTCGGGAGAGAGACTGACGGCATTCGCACAACCTGCGTAACTTGGTTATTGAATGAACCCACTTTCTGGGTTCACAGAACACACAAAACCACAAAGGAACTAGACAGTCTGGCTTTGCAGAACATGGTGAACCACGAACAAGCTACCCAAGATTAAAACTAACTGCCTTCAGTATCTTGCATGCATGCAGCTGCTTGGTTTTCTACCTAACCTGGCTAAGTGTGTTGTGTGAACTCCGCCTTTAGGGTCATGAAATCAGAATCAAAGGCAGCCTCAGGAATTTTGAAAAGGAGGAGAGTCCCGGGCTCGCTAGTCCACAAGGGAGCTCACTGTTCCCAGGGGCCTCCAGTCCAGTCCAGCCTAGCTTGGCCTCCTGCCCCTGCCAGTCTTCTTACGTACCCAGCGTGCCCACTTCGGTGCCAATCGCCTCCACGACGAAGTCGGCAGACTTGCCCACCATGCCGGTTTCCAGTCCAGGCCCCCAGGCCCTCACTTTCTGCATCCCAGCCTCAGGTGCCACCTGTACCTCAAAGGGACTGAAAAGAAAAAAGGGACAGATGCTGGACACATCCTGCAAACTGAACGCCCCCCCCCCAGAATTCACCCAGGGGCTTCGGTCCAGATGCATCACTAGGTGGCCAATCTGGGTCAGGTTGTGCATCACGTAACCCAGTGTTTCTCAACCTTGGCAACTTGAAGGTGGGTGGACTTCAACTCCCAGAATTCCCCAGCCAGCCTTGCTGGCTGGGGGATTCTGGGAGTTGAAGTCCACCCACCTTCAGGTTGCCAAGGTTGAGTTTTTTTTAATGGTTAATTGTTGCACGCCACCCAGAGTCGCCTTGTGTTCAACCTTGGCAACCTGAAGGTGGGTGGACTTCAACTCCCAGAATCCCCCAGCCAGCAAGGCTGGCTGGGGAATTCTGGGAGTTGAAGTCCACCCACCTTCAGGTTGCCAAGGTTGAGAAACACTGAAGTAACCTCTTTTCTGCTTAATTTATTTGACTTTACATAAAATTTCTACTTAATTTATTCCACTTCCATAATTTATCATTCATTCCACTTCCACAATTCATAATTTTTTTTTAATGGTTAATTGTTGCACGCCACCCAGAGTCGCCTTGTGTGAGATGGGCGGCTCTATAAATGTGACATATAAATAAATACAAATAAATAAATAAAAGGTGGACTGTGCAAACTGAAGCCGACTTGAACCACAGCCCTTGTGTGAGAAAACAGAGCCGAGACGGAAGGGGACGTTCTCCGATGGGAACCGAAAGGTTCCCAAAGTCCAGAGTCACCTTGTGTGAGATGGGCGGCTACATAAATACGATAAATAAATAAATGAGAAATGAGAAAGAAAGAAATAATAAAAATAAAAGGGGCTTTTTCCTCTGCCTGCCTTCCCCCTTCCATACTGGGTGTACCAATCTAGTGACCGAAAATACATCAGATCCCCCCCCACACACACACAGACACACTTTTTGAGCATAACCTGCGGAACTCACTGCCACTAGAGACAGCGTGAGACGGGCAAGAAAGGGGCGAGTCTTTGATTATGCGGCTGTGGCCATCACTGCAATGTTTTTGACACATATCCCTCACGGATGGCCCTGGCTGGAGGTCCTCAAGGGCAAGGTTTCCCTGTCCCCGGCTGCCCTTCATGCCCGTCTTGTGCCTGCAGAATGGCTTACCTCCTTGGAATGGCGTGGCCGCCCCACGTAATCGACACCACGTACTTCCCAGGCACTTTGGGGTAATATTCACATTCGTACCCCCCATCACCGACATCTCGTACTTTCACCGGCTCTTCTGTTCCTTCTGAGGGTGCAGAAAAAAAAACTTTGAAATAACATCCCACTGCCGAAACAAAGCAGGCGGGAGTTATGATTCCTTTCATAAGTGGATCAGGCTTCCATGTCTTATTAAAGCAGCTGGATCTTTTTTCAGCCTTGTGGGGAACCTTGAAAAAAGATGTGGCTGCTTTAAAGAGACACCGTGCTCTCATTCCCATGCATGCACAGCCTTAACCCAGGACCCTTCCCTTATTTTCCAGCCTGTTTCTCTCTTCCTCCGCTCTACCCCAAAGGCTCCTTTAGCCATTATCCTGTGCAAAAGAGGAACAGTTCCCTCCGCTGGACCAAAAGTCACACCCCGGTCAACCACCCAGAGTCACTCTGCAGTGAGATGGGCAGTGACAAATTTGAAATATAAATAAAATTAATAAATACTGCATGATTTCAGCAGAAGGCGGAGGGAGAGCAAAACGTCTCCCGCACTTACTTGGTCCCTTGACGACCACCTTGAGTTCCCCAGTGCCGGCTCCCTTGGTGTAAACCTTGAAGTCTGCCACCTCCTTCACGCGCATCCCCTTTGGCTGGAGACCCCGGCCCATTGCCCGGCAAGCGTTGGGGCTGCAAGCTGTAAAGGAGAGAAAAGGCCACGCTCAGAGCCAGGAGAAGATGCTGAATCACAGGATGTCCCTTGGGGGATGGGGAGGGTGCCCTGGGAGGAGAAGCCGCATGGGGCGCCAAGGCCTGGCATCTGTGCAGCTGAGGGAACCCAGGCCTTGCTCAGCACCACAGAGAGACCTGGAAGAGGGCTGATCCAAACCAAGACTCGCACGCAGGGCCACGGAGCAGGTCCCCCAAGTACCCATGCACCCTCCCTGGTGCACAAGCAACCTTAGCAGAAAGAGGGGGCAGAGAGAGGACGCCAACTTGAAATGCGTTCAGAGAGGAGCTGGCATTCAGATTCGGCTTGCTGACAGGGAACGTTATGGATACATCTTGATGGAATAAAAAGGAGGGCAGCCAGCGGAGATTCCCAGCCAAGGAGGCCTTGGGGAAATTCCAGGGCCGTAGGCTAGCTCGGGAAATCAAAATAAACTTTGCCTTCTTTCAGGAACTTTCCTTGACTTTCCAAGCTAGCTTGCAGCCCTAGCCTTCCCTGGTGGTCTCCTTTCCCCATCTTAACAGCACTGCAAAATCAAAGCAAGGTCAATGGACATTAAAACCACCTCCTCTTTCTTCTAAGTATGAAGGAGCCACCTTCTTCCCAGCACAGATCTCTCCTGAGCGAACTGTATCATGCTCAGCAGCCCAGCAAGTCTAGTGCATGGGCGTGCAAAAGCCACACTAATTTGCTGCCAAAAGTGTTTTTCCCAGGGACAACCAGACACGCATCTTTACACACATCAGGTGGAAGGGAATAGGGGAAAGGAAGTATTTTAACCTCTCTGCTCAAATGTTGCCCACTGCATGACTTCTGAAATGTGGGGAGTGAGGGAAGGAAGGAGGAAAGGAGGAAGAAGAGAA